AAAAAGACAAATTGATGGTTTCTAAAGTATCTGGTTGGAAATCTGAATATACTTTCTGTTTTGGCTCATTATTGAGTCAGATCTACTAAAATCGGCAAACGAAGATGTAAAGACAGCATGAAAAATCACTATCATTTAGCAACATTATCTTCTAATTATAAATTATAATAGCTCTTCAAATAATTTTCTCATGTACCGGCAGTTATTTCCTATTTGAAGTGCCATTACGAAGTGTTTAAAGCTCTTGAAATGTTTTAATCTCAGATTCTCTGATATGAAGGAAATTCTACCGATTTCGAACTCATTTTACAGCGCACTGGAAAACTCATGATGCTGTATTACATTGTCTATTGAGTTCACTGTGGTTTCTGACCATTACTAACCTTGAAAAACTGCTAATTTAGTTTATCGATATTGAAATTAAGGTCAGACAATGTCACTAGTGGCCAAATTTAATTTCAATAATTTTAGATTTTTCGAGATTTTTTTAGACTTTTTGGGATTTTTTTAGATTTTTTGTGATTTTAAATCCCAAAAAATCAGCTTTTCCCCCGTGGATGACACTAGAGTCCTGCTGGACAGTCCAGAATCCCGAAAAATCCCATTTGTTCCGTCATGTCGGGCAAACGGGACTGTCCCAAAAATTTTTCGAGACGGGACAATTCGACAAAAAAGTGTTGTCCCGAAAGTTTTGAGCTTGGATATCGAAATCCGTTGTAAACTTTAAATTTCATATTGTTCACAAACATTTTAGTATTTAAATAAACAGTGTCAAAGAAAAACACAAATACACAAGCCACGAGATGCTTTAATATTTGTCTATTATCATTCTCTTCTGTATTACAATTACAGTTGTACTTTATATTAATCTATTTTTCTAAACTTTGCTACAGGCGGATAAATACTTTTTAAGATTCGAAGTTCGGATATTTCGCTCGACCTATAGCAAACTTTAAATTTTATCCGCATCTGAACGTTTTTTTCTGATTTACATTGTATAGTCAATAATACTTATCAGAAATTCATAAATCATCTCATAATCATAGACACGAATAAATTGTTTCGATTGATCGTATATAGAAGGCACGTACTGCTATTGAACAAAACCATATCTTTATTTTTTTCCGTTTATGGGACAAACGGGATTCGGGACATAGAAAAGTTTGTCCCGCAGGTCTCTAGATGACACCCACACACATGACAAGAATGAATTGTCATATTCATATTACCGTCTAACTAACTAACCACTAAAATATCACAATACAGATGACATTGATAGAAATATTTCATTTTGCTCTAAATTTATTGAGAATAGAACGTAGATAAAAAGTGACATTCAAATGCGAACTGTATGAGACGATGCGCAACAAAAGCCAATGATAGAAAGTCAAAGAAAGATCGATTTTAGTAAAGCAGAGCAAAAATATTTGAAAAAAGAACGTTTATACGAATGATGAACAATCAGAATTTTAATTTGATTGTAAGAAAACTTGATAAACACGAGTTGAACCTTCAAGCCATTGTATCATTGTTTCTATGCACCACTGAAGCTAACAGATCCTAGACCAACTGCAATGATTGAAAATGTGCCGAATACATTTGGCAAATATGTCGTTACAATCAAAATGTACTTTGTTACAGTATCAATAAAAATGGTTAAAATGAATTGCAAATTGCCACCATCATCATTATTTTGTGTTATTAGATTTGCATATCGAGCAGAAGAATTGAAACTATTATTGTAAATATATCCATATATATCGAAGCTAGCATTAGACAGAATAAAATAGGTTCCAGCTGTAGAGGCGTTGATAAGAATAGCTTGATAATAGTAGCTTGGTATTGAACAACTGCTTGTACGACAAAAAGTTTGACTGGCGTTCGTCAACGTTGATGAATATCTCGAGGTTACAGACAATGAAATGTCTAATTAGAGAAAAATGAAAAGATTAGTTTTGATCTAACTTCATAGTATCACTCTATGACAATATAGAGGAATTCAAAAGCACCATTTATATAGAATTTTCTAAAACTAAATTGTAGACTGTTTTTCTTGCATGATGTCTGATGCAATGAATCAAAACTAGCGTCATATTGTCGAAAATAATGATTGAGAAAAGTTAGTTTTTCGAAGAAACAAAAAAGACGTACTCTATTTATTATCCAACTATTCCACAGATATACATTCACATTATTATAAACAAACTCCGAACTGTTTTTGTTATTGTTTACAATAAAAAACTTATCTTCTCATAACTATTATAGTATTTGACACATAACAAACTATATAATTGAAATGTGTACAAGTAGAGAAAGCTGTTAGCACGATTTCAGTGAGATTAACATTTTAAAAAAGACGAAGAAACTGTTATTATACAAAAGAAAATTCCTCAACATGCATTTCGATGAATGAATTACCAACTACTCTTACTAAGTGTCAATCATGAAAGATGTTAATCATAATATAATCCAATGATTGTGAAAGATGAGTAAAAATAATTATCTTCAATTCAGTCATGTTTAATGGTAATCCTACAATAGACTTTTCTCTCATGGATATGCCTATCATGGTCCATGAGGAGACAGCGGCCATACCTAGACATCTGTCATAGTCTATGTTAGAGAAGAAGCGTTCTTCAGTTGTTCTCAAGCTCAATGATTAAAAGTGAGGTGACATTACTCGGATGTTTTGCACAATTTGTGGTGTGCCGTTGCTATACTATCTGTCACGTCTGACGGAAGGCTAGACAGTGAACAACTAGACGATAAAACGAATGTAATCCTCATCGCCGAAAACCGACATCGGCGATGAGCATACTTACCGACAAAACATTTTCGCTTTAGCTCTAGTTTCTCAGTAGAATAACGTATATTTTAATTAAATATTAACTCATGTGATAGTGCATAAACCGTGTAACACAAAGAATATTTACTTTCTATTAAAAAGGCATTGTTCAAAAACGTTTTATCAGAAACATAAAGAATTATTTTCTTGTTCAGCTTCTGTTGCCTATTTTCTGAAGACGGGTGTGGTTCGAAATTTTACATGAATACATCAACAATAATTTTACATCGTATTTCACAGAAAAGATCATTCATTTTCTAGAGAAAATTTTGAAAAATGAAAAAAAAATCAATTACATCACATCTCTATCATTATCTCAATGAAAAAGAAAAGCGAACAGTGTTTATGTCGTGAGTCGCTTCCATCGGTGCTTTGTGCTATAGACATCAGTGTTGATATTGACATAGACGTACTAGATATCTGTTTCTACTATATGTGACACTTTTCATCTGAACATTTTTTTTTTCAAAAAATATAGGAATATAAGAAAACCTCTAGTCTTCTAATCATTATTATTTTCGTAGGTTTATTCGCGACGTTGACTGTTATGGATTAGATAAGAAGAAGCAAAGTTTTTGTTTTTGTATAATGTACAAAATTCGAATGATTGGACTTCTTGTGCAAAGAAAATTTTGTTTCGTTAGAGAAATTCTACTTTTGAAATGAATTTAAAAATGATATTTCGACGGTATTTATATTTTGATCATTGAATAGAAATGCAGACAAGTTAAGGTGTTATTTTCAAGGTGCTCTCAATGAACAAATGTCATTAAGATTAATTATCAACAGTAACTAAGTTTCAGCCATCAACGAACTCAAAAGAATTTTGTATTTTCGAAACATAATTCTTCATAACTAGTAACGAATTTTTCTAATAATAATGTTACCTTTTGACAAATATTTTTGCTTCAATTTAACTGAATTACTCTACGGTAAAGCATTCAATAGTCTCTAAAACTGTATGAATTCATATTGTAATGATTATTTTATTTGATTAAAGAAGCTCTTTGAGGGGTCCACGAAAAATTAAATTTATCCCGTTTTACTTTTTGCCTCTTCAAGTTATTTCTTTAGTCCCTTTAGGACCCTTTAGTCCTTTTAATCCCATTAGTTCCATTAGTCCTTCTAGCACCTTTAGCACCCTTTGGCAGCCTCATTTCAACAGCACTTGTACTCGCAGCCGGACCTATATTCTAAAATTCCTAAAGGGACTAAAGTGTAGCGAATATGAAAATCTTACCAGTTTCTACAGCATAAAAGTAAAACGGGATAAAATTAGTTTTTTGTGGACATATGAGCTCTTTGAAATACATTGAGTGCTTACTGAATGCATTGATTTGAGAAAATCTAATTGATGACAAGCCAGATGCAATGATTGAAAATGGTCCTGTGTCTAATCCATCATATGTTGTTACAATCAAAATATATCGTGTCAGAGTCTGAAGAAATATTGAGAACAGGAATTGATTATTATCACCACTATCATCATCTTCTGCTAAGAGATTTCCAATTGGATAAAATGGATCAAAACTATTATTGTATATATAACCATATGTATCAATACTACTATTACATCCAATAGTATAATTTCCATTCATGGAAACATTAAATTGAATGGCTTGATAGAAATACATTGGTTCTGCACAAATGGTTGAACGACAGAACTTTTGACTAGAGATCGTCAAAGCTGATGAGTATTGCGATTGCACCATTGATAAAGTTACTACTGCAAGAATAAAAAAAAATAATGCAAGCTTATATAAACATTTTGAGCTGTTAATTTTCTTTAGCAACAAAATATTTGGTCAGTAAAATAGATTAAATGGCTAGTAACATAGATGAGATGGTCAGTAAAAAATACATAAATGATCAGTATAAAGATTAAATGGACAGCACTTAAATTACCTGTCCCCTCCCCACAGAATAGAAGCCCACTCCAGAAATCAGTACTGACTGAATTCCATGAATTCGGAATTCATAAGGAATCCATGGAGAATCCAATTCGAGAAAGCGAAACTGCAAGTGGAGCCTCTATCAGCCGCATTCGATAGGACTTGGTTGATGCTGCTCCACGGCGTTTCACACAGAGCACATCTTGGCATGTGGGTACTTCAGAACAGCTTATCGTTTAATATCAGATGGATTCCTCATGAATTTCGAATCCATGGAATTCAGCCAGTACTGATTTCGGGAGTGGGCTTCTATTCTGTGAGGAGGGAACTGATAATTTAAGTACTGACCACTTAAATCATAGCCATTTTCTTTTATTGATAGTGTTTTATTAGTATTCTAGCGGAAAACGAAAAATCATCGGACGAAAAACTTAGAAAAATGAGTTTGTCTTTTTTCGAGAAATGAGAAGTAGCTTTCAAAATTTCGTAATTGCTTATTCTAAGTCTTTATGTTTTTTTTAGGGAGCGTAACAGATTACATTCAAACGTTTAGCGGCATTGTGAGTATCGACGAAAAATATCATCTGTATAAAAGGATAAAAAAATTCAACGAAAACTTTGAAAATTTCATAGAAATATATGAATATTATTTACAAAAAGGATACTTAAAATTAAAGGGACACGATAAGGTCTCCAACTGATTCATTCAGTTTTCAATAATATTTTATTTATATGTAGGAGACAACAATCTAAGAAAATACCTAAAATTATTTGGATGGATAGACATTCTTTACAAAATTAAAGCCAATTTACTTATTTTTTGACTTTATACAAGGTAATTACGGAAAAAAATCAAACAGTAGAATTTTTTCGTTATATATAAGCTCCATGACCAATGAAATGCTTTTGAAGACATCAATAGAAAGAAATATTTATTATTCTATATGTTGAGTTATGAAGAAACTTAATCTTTCTCTACTTTATCTAATATACGATTATCTCTCTAGAATTCAACACCTCGAAAAAAAAACATGCTTTATTTTGCATTAAAGCTTTTTGAAAATTTCTAATCAGTCATATATTTTATTTGAGCAAATTTTTAGTTGAAATTCTCTTGTTCAATTTTTCTGCGATTGTCTTGGACTGGACCGAAAAGTGAATAAAATTATTATAATCTTTCACAGAAGTTATATCAGTCCGAATCGTCCTAGAATTTCTCTTAGATTAGTGTTTCTAGTATATAAATAAAATATCATTGAAAACGATATGAATCAGTTATGGATATTTCCTTAATATTGCAAGTATTATTGATTACTTGAACAATACGAAATAATTGAGCGTTTTCTATCTATATGATTAAATAATATCGTGATATGATTCCTACTGGATCATGGAATAATGGCTCTCTTCAATAACAAACAATATAAGCTAATTATATGCAATACCATTTGCAACTCTCTAAAATCGTTTACATGACTTTAATGCTCATCTCAAGTCTATAGTTTGTTAGTATTATTAGTGCAATGTAATAATGAGACAAAAATTTTCAGTTAAAATGACATCTTGAAAACAAAAAGCCAGACAGATTAATTAATGAATTAGTTGCACTGAGAAAGATCGTTGTCAAAAAAAAAGAGTTCAGAATTGATACTATCTGGTGAGACGAAAATGTGTTGATAATAGTAATAGACGATTACAGTAGTTAGAAAAAAAGCGTGATTAACTGAAATACAACATTTTTAAGGAAGAAAGGTACAATAACTCACATGGAACTAATTAGAAGATATGCATGATCTCGGACTATTCGTTGTAAACTTTTGTATACAAAAGACAAATCACTATGAAATAGATTCTTTAGTAAAAGAATGATTGATAATCGAGAAGAATATATATAAGTGAACTAAAGCCCCTATTGAAGGAGCATCTGTGCTTGTAGTTCTAATCTTACCAGTGATTGTTGCTCTCGTAGTATTTGTCAAATCAGTTGATATTGTAGTTGAAGTGCTCACTGTACTGACAGTCATATTCATCGCCATACTGGTTGAGACACCTATAAAATGAAAAAATATCTAGCATGCAGAAAATGAAATGCATACATTATTTTAAACAAATACAGCTAGTGATTTGAAAAAGATCGAAATAACATGAAATTGTAGTAATTATGGAGGTTCATCTTGAGTATGCAAGAAACGTAAACATCAAGTTTGAATATATTTGTAATTGTATTTTTGATTAACAAAAACTTAAGCAACGTACCGTATGAGAAGAACTGTCGCCGAAGCAAATACCATGAATTTTTATCTTGCTTTAAGTGAAGTATCTTTTATATACTGAACCAAGAGTGAATAAGTTTTCTCCTAATAATTTTCTGTAGTTGAATCTTATAAAAACTCATAATAACAACTACAATTGATCAGTTTTACATTATTAACTCGAAAAAAATTTAAGTGAACCATGCATGAGGAACAAAACAAAACCGAAACAATGTTTTTTTTTTCGGGGAAGATTCCAAAATGAAAAAATCTTGTTTCACCAAAGCAATGTGAACATACATTTCCAAAGCGCAAAAAAATGTTAAAAATGATGGAAATAGTACATTGTTAACTTTTCACTAGCTTTATAGTTACCATTTTCGCTTGTTGAAATAATTGAAACGCTTCCTTGTGTTGTTGTTTCATCTAACATGTAAATAAATTTTAGTATTTATTAAACAACAGGAAAAATCTTACTTGATAGTGTAGCTTGTTTGTTTTTTGATTGAAAATGCATAGTGACTGGAACTATAATAGCCACTGCTACGATGATAAGCAATATTAGTAATAAGATCAGCTTTATAGAAGAGACCATTATAATGCAAAGAAATCTTTCTTAGAAACGATATCAGATTTTGATCGTACTAAAAGAAGAAAACCTGCTTGTAGTCAATAGATTGATGTCTTACAAATTGAGCTTTATTGTGAGACAAAGAATATTTATAAAAATCAAGGAATTCTCATTTGAATAGATACATGAATACTATGTGAGAAGTATGCTTATGAATGAACAAACGACAAGAAACATACACAATTCGTATTTATTAGACAGTTTTAACTGTTGAGAAATACTCAATAGATTCGATACTTCTGATAACAATCGAATATTACCAATACTTTACGCAGGTGATATTGTTATTGGATCATCTGTAAAACACGCAAAACGTTGAAGAAAATCTCGAAAATAGACAATGATATGTTTAATATTTAGAGCTTCCGAAGCTGATTTGTGAATATTTAAGATCGGTCATATTTTCTAACATGAAACGAGATCTACTTACATAGATGTAGACCCAACATATGTATTTAAGGTAGTGTGTGGATTTGGAAGACGATATTTTTCCGAGATTCTCTGACATCGAGTCGAAAAACTATTCAGTATATCTCTCAAAATTTCAACCTGCCTCTGTAGAAGAGAAAACATTGATAAAACATTTTTCTCAGATATTAGTCCCGTTGTAAAAGTAAAAAAATTGAAAATAGAAAGCTTTCTTCTTCATTTTTGTATTACTGCTTCACCTGAGTGACAATGCTTCACTTTCTGCTTTCTCTACTACTCCTTCCTGAGTGTCTTTGCTTTATTGGCAAATACATCTGGATATATATACTCCTATACCGAAATAGTTCCATACCACGAATGACTCATCACAATAACAAAATAACAGAGCGAACCTCACTTTCTTCTTCCTGTTCGATATTCTGAGTTGACACTTGTCTCTTCGTGAGATCACCGAAGAACCCAAATGTAAAATTTTTATGTTAAACAATTAAAAAGCTTACAATCGTCTCTGTTTTTCTCCTTTCGAAAAGACTAACATACTACTTCGTAACTGGCACCGCATCCGTACTCATTCTCACATACACTTGTCACTGAAAGATTTTCCAAACAAACATTCAATCATAAATCCAGTACTGTGATGACTTCACAGGCTGTCAGACAGGTTCAAATTTATTTTTGAGTTGCATTCGAGATCTTCCTCTTTGTTTCTTCTTGCCCGTAAAGTGATCTGACAGATGCTTGCTGCTTCACAATCTTTTCCGCAAAAAGATAAATAAAGAATCTAGCATCACAGCAGCTTTCTAAACCCTTCAGCTATATAATAATTCTTACCAGTAACTTTGAAATACAAAACTTATACATTGTGGTAACTTGACACACCCATACCCACAATTTCTATGAACAAGACGAAAAAGCAATCAGACTAATGAAACTTTTTTCTGTACCCTATATTCAACCAATACACAAATTTTTTTCCCGAGAAGTTAACTCTCGATTGTTTTCTACAACAGGACGGTTTTTGTAGAAGCGCGACAAACTCCTTGTGAGATATTCGCATACATATCAATAATGTAGCTTTTATTTGCCGCTGTCAAACCTCTACGTCGTTGTGGCATGTACGCAAAATGAGCGACTAATGCTTTACCAACAGCGATAGAATGTTTCTTTTCTCTCTTCGGAATTTCAATTGATATCTGATGTTCATCATCGCCTGGTTGAACAGTGGCTACATCTTTTCCTTGAAATAGAATAAAATTAATAGACCAGCGTGGATATTCATTTCGCCAATTAAAATCCCAATAAGTAAACATGTAAGCTTCTAACGAATTCTCATGGAACCGCTTGAAAAATGATTCGTGCTGCACAATTCCACAGTGAGAACTATCCCAAAGACAATATGGATCTTCGCCATTTATGGCAGCTAGACTAGTGAGGTTGTAAATTGCTCGCATTTGCGCATGAACTGAAGTTAATACCGGATGATTAATGACATTGCCACTGACAAATAGAACATCTGAATGCATTATCTTCGTTTCTAACATCAGCTCAAACGCATTTGGATGTATGTAAACGATATCATCGTCAATTTTAAAATAGTACCGATTGGAATCTAAGGATTGATAGTGAGCCTCAAATGTCCAGTGAAGGTTAGTAATATTCTTCTTAAAGTATCGACCTGGATGGGTAGCGATCAATGTGTCAAGGTACTGAAGGTCTCTTTCATCTTTTGTTTTGGCATTGAATATGACCTCGGTTAGTAAGCCTCCATTTTCAACCAGATTTTGTTCGAGATAACAGTTAAGAATTTGAGCATAACTTTTGCGACCGTAGAAGACTAGTGCCGTAGCGTTGATGTGCTGGAACGTAGGATTTCGCTTTCGATTCCATACGAATGCTGTCGATGTCTTAGAAGAATTTTCCATTGGATTACTTCTTGTTCTAATTACGAACCAATGCGGAGTTGCATGTGAATAGAGATGAAAAATGACAATAAGTGTTAAGCAAATGGCTGCACCAACTGCATTACTAATCAGAATAATCTTCTGAGCAAATGTGGCCATTGTCTAATCAAAATTAATTCAAAAATACACTTCTGCTAAGAATCTAGTCTCCTCTGGAGGTAAGTCACATACCTTGGTTTATAAGTTTGATTGAACTCTCGACATGTTCAGCTCATAGTCAGTGTAAAAAGTGTAGAGAAGAAATTGTTCGCATATTTACTTATTAAAAAGAAGATAATTGAGATTGGTTTCTCTAGTAGATGTTCTTTCTGATTTGGTTTCCTTATTCTCCGTGGTGTTCCGTCACCGATCTGGATCTCTTCAGATTAAATGTGCATGTGACACGACAGATTTGTACAGGTGCATGGCGTACCGAAAAATGTATTTTTTTCTTTTTGTTAAATCTCCTTCCCCACTTTGTCGATCAATAGCGCAACGAACGAAGGTAATTGACTTGACGGGTTGCTTCGGCCAGTGTCAATATCCTGTTCAGTCGACTGTCAATCGCTAAACAAGGAAGTGAGATAAGAAAGAAAAAACAAAATAGAACACATAGGATTTTTTCTATATGTCGCCTGTATATGAATCTGCCATGTCGCATGTACATCTAGTCTGCAGAAGTCAACATCGTTAACGAAACGACACGAAAAAAAATGAAGAAACAAAACAAAGAAGAGTATCTACTGGATGAATCCATTACCAATATCTTTTTCAAAGTTTTTTTCTCTTCACAATAAACAATTTTTTTTTTAATAATATCTCCGTTCAGAAAAAATAAGATAGTGCGCTTTTTCCAAGAAAGGCGCTTCTTTTTCCCTTGACTTTTTCACAACATTTTTCTGCGATCTAATACTTCGAAGAGTAGTTGAATAAGCCTGTCAAATACCCAAATTCATAAGACTGTATTCCTTGGATGTCTATGCAAAAATTATAATCACTGTTTAATCAAAGCAAAATTCTACACGAATGTAAACTCTGAATTGTCACTAGAGCATTATGAATAGACAATATTTCCATATTTTAGTGACTGTCGCGTCGAGCCAGTCCTCTTTTTCTTTTTCACTTCTTTTAAATGATTCAAAATGTCGCTAGAATCGATACTTGGAAAAAAGTATTACAAATCAGGAAAAAATGTTCAATATCAGCTCCTGAATTAGAGAGAGTTTTGACCAGAAGAAAGGTTTAAAAATCAGAAGATTTGGCAAGCCTATTGTTCACGCAACTTTCAGTGTTTTTCTGGATAGATGTGACAACACTCAAACAGTAATGGCAATTAGTTCGATTTGACGCGTTTTCTGGAATTCTTGCCTGCTGAGGTAAGACTGGTTTCTATTGTCTGAGCATCTGAATCACAATTCACTATACGAAACGTAATGGTGAATGCTTGCTTCGAGCACTGCATAGTAATGCTCTAGACTTTAAATCCATCTTTGTTAATTTTAAAGCAAGAGGCTGCGATCAGTTCTATCTACCTGCTTCAACTAGATACCGACGGAATGTTGACAACACGAGAGCGAATAACATCCAAGTCCAAGCAATGTTGTCATTTCTAGGGGTGACACTTTAACTTTACTTTAAAGTTAAAGTTTAAACCTTTCAAAGTTAAAGTGCACTTTTTCCTATGAAAGAAAACTTTTGTAAGAAATTCATAAAAGTATCAACAACTATTTATGGGCTATGTAACATGACTATTCATAGGTCATCGACTACTATATAACGGAAGTACCCATGGATCATTAACTAATATATAACGAGGGTACCCTTGGGTCATCAACTACTATATAACGTGAGTTCTCTTGGGTAATCAACTAGTATATGAGGAGGATGCTCATAGATTATTCAAAAGTATAGAATAGTTGTATCTGTAGTGTAACGATAAATTGGAAAGATGTAATGACAGACTGGAGGAGTAGATTACCTCCACCCTCAGTATTGATGTTTATTGAGCTACTTTACATCTCCAGAATGTGTCTATTTCACATTCAACACAAGCTTTTATATGATAGAGAAACAAAGAGAGAGACGACAAAGGGAGAACAATAGAAAGAAGAAGAGAAAAGAGAAAACAAGGAGAGCAGCGAGCCGTGACGTATATATCGGCACACCCTCCCACTCAGATCAGACGCGCTCCTGAGTGTCTTTAGAATTTAGAAAGAAAAACAGAAACGATAAAAAATTAATTGGATGAAAAAAAAATGACATCAGACCATGTTCATCGATGGAACTTAATCGTAGAAATCAAAGTACTATACGAACAAAAATTTCGAGTTATATACATAATCTCATATCAACACACGTTTTCACAGTATTATCGCATCGAGTCAAAAACATAGCAGTCAAAAAAAAAGAAACAAACTTTTTGAAGAAGTGGTCTTCACATTTCAGACTCATAAATTCAGCATCACATTTCAAATATCAACAGAACACTATTCAACACGAACGCAGCATACAAATACTGATCTTCACATCAACAATCATCATACAAAAAAAACTTTGACAGAGCGCACAGAAATGAAACAGTATAGAAATATAGAATTCATAACACATTTATTATCAGTCACGCTCTTTCGCACATATTTTAGTTCTTAGAATATAACTTCGAACATCAAGTCATACATATTAATTTTAAACAACAAGAAAAAAATATTAATCAGTTACAGAAGTTTAGTACATTTTTTGTCATCAGCAGAAAGGTAAATATTCTAACTCATAGAGTGCAGAAACTCTTGTCTAGTGCATAAACGATACCTAGAATGGTTTCTTTTTCTGTTTAAGATCAGATCAGGTCAACAGACATATATAAAAAAATATCAGCGAGAAAAAAATTTACATTACACTGCACATTATCGAACTATCAAAGACAATCAATAATGAAATTATTTTATCTTCTATTTTCACACTTCGTTAGGCAATAAAAAAAATTAACACTTCACATTTGATATAATCAAACCTAACACTTTCATTACATTAAAAATTTTTCACTGACTCCAGGCATTTCGAGGATGATATCTTTTTCGTTTTAATTTTGCCCATCTTCTCATATCTGATTGTTACGCATCGTTAGTCAGCAGAATGATCAGCAGAATGAATTGTTGGTGGTGATCGACAAGAAGAACCGAATATTGATGATGAATGAATGCCAATTGTTTACGGCCGATACACAATTAATTTCATGCTCATCGATGTCCATTTGTTCTTTTGTCGCTTTATTTTCTATTTTTTTGCAGAGAAAATAAGTTTGAATGATGTGCAAAACGACTCATAGATTCGAGAAGAAATGACATGAAACGTACAGATGTTACAAAGGATAGTGCGCCAACCCTCCGCACCGCCGGCCCGAAACATAGCCGTTCTGTAGTACGTTTACTGATGATCTGTGACAGTGCCCACAAAACTTAAAACACTGCCATGTCATTCAACTCTACTCGCCGAATGCATTCGTCACTCATTCAAATTATTTACCGTACCTTGGCATCAACTTGTATCTTCCATTGAAGTTCGATAATTTTGAATTCTTCTTTTTTGTGATATCTTGTAAGTTCGTTTCCGAATATGCATGAATTCGCTCACCAGGGTCGACATGTAACGATAAAAAGGGAAGATGTAATGACAGACTGGAGGAGTAGCTTACAGCCATCCTCGGTAATGATGTTTATTCAGCTACTTTACATCTCCAGAATGTGTCTATTTCACATTCAACACAAGCTTTTATATGATAGAGAAACAAAGAAAGAGACGACAAAGGGTGAACAATAGAAAGAAGAAGAGAAAAGAGAAAACAAGGAGAGCAGCGAGCCGTGATGTATATATCGGCACATGTAGGTTATCTAGTGCCATATAAATGGATTATGAACAGCTTACTAACTACTCAATAACGGTAGTAGCTATTGATCACCTGCTACTATGTAATAAGGATACCTTTAAACTTTCAAGGGTTATGCAAAGTAGGTATACGACACTCCTCATATCGTTTGTCGTAGAGCTACTCATGGATCATGATATATTACGTTAGGCTGATTCTAATTTCTGCTTATTAACCATCTGTTACAGTGTATTCTTCTATAACATCTACCTCGATCCTATCTATTCTCTTTTCTTTATTATTTTCGTTTTTGTCTTTTCGTTTCTTTTATTTCTTTCCTTTGCCCTTGATTAACCTCTGTATTCTTCTATATTTTGTCTTTAGTTTTCATGTGCGTATATAAACACTTGTTTTGTAAAAGAATAAACAGAGAGAATAAACCACACGCGCACGTTAACTGTGTTCGTCGCTCTTCGTGAGCGTGAACGCTAACGCCATCTAAGCTAGCTTCCAATAGTAGACCTTGAACTATGCACAGGTAGTTTGCATAACTCATCATAAATAATACACAAATCGTTTCCGATATTTCTTCACGAGATTCCGGATGAAACACCGTAGTTGACAGATAGCCTTTTGGTGTTGATTTGTAATGGTCATGTATGGGATGTGTTGTGATGTCTGAGTATGCGTTCTCTTCATTCACAGTTTAACAAAATCACGA